CAGATGAGGTCATTGCAGATCAATGTGGTGACAGTAGGGGTAAGCATAAGGTACTCTAGGATTTCTCCATCAACCCTGATACACACATGAAATTTATTATGCCACACCCCTGATTGAAATCCTTCCAAGTACCCCCACCCCCTGAAGGCTAAATCAAAACTTCTAAGCCTGGCATGTCTGGCATGTCAAATGCTTAACCACTGTTCCTCACCAATTGTGCCACATGCCATCTCAGCCACTGCTCAGTAGACTTCGTGCCTGTGGATGGCTTCCAATGGACCACCTGCTGAATGAACCAGCAACACTCTTCATTCATTCTCTCTGTGAGATACACTGACACCCATGTTGAGACTTGGCTGCCAGCAGGCTATCCTCCAGTGCTCTCTGTACCCACCAAATGAGACACAAACTCACCCAAGTCAGTCCTGCGTGTCCCAAACTCATTTAGGCCAGTTCAACCTGTTATTGTAATCACATTATGAAGCTGATAAAGTATGAGTATGCAAAGAAAGTCTGATGCTGATCTATAAGAACTACCTTCAATGGTTTGAAAATACTTGACAAAGGCGTGTTGAAAGAATATTGCTAGGGGCACCTGGGTGGTTCAGTTGGTTAAGCATCCAACTCTTGATTTCAGCTCAGGTCATGATCTTAGGGTTCGTGTGTTCGAGCCCTGCATCAGGCTCTGTGCTGACAGTGCAGAGCCTGCTTAGGATTCTTTCTCTCTCTCTCTCTCAATCTCTCTCAAAAAATAAATAAACTAAAAAAAAACATTTTAACTGAAAAAAATTAAAAATTAAAAAAATTAAAAAAAAAAAAAGAATATTGCTACCCATATGCTTGATAACATGATGGTGCAAGATTAGGCTGAGGGATACCTTTAAAAAGTTAAGCATCTACACTTAGATTTTTTTGTAGGTGTTTGAAAGTCCTTATCCATTTTAAAGAAAGCAAAACTAGACGAAGTAGTTGATGTTTTGCAGTGTGTTACCAAAGATAAGGTGAAACTATGGTCAGGAAACCACAACCCAAAGGAGAAGGTTTGGCCTTGTTACAAAAGGGTGGTGAATGGACATACAGTCAAATGTTTTTAATTAAAATAAAATGTTCCAGGCATATATGTATTATTTTTTTATACAAGTGCCCTGTGTCTGACTTTTGGGAATAACCACCAAGGCCCTACTGTTCCCAACTGAGGCTGACAAGGAGACATCACCTATTGTAGCTGTAACTCCTTAAATGCCCCAGTGCTCTGTCACAGCTCCATGGCTTTGAGTGCATTGTTTCCTCTGCTAGGAAATGTCCTCTGGGCTCCTATATCTGGCACATTCCTACTTACTCTGTCTTGCCACATCAAGTGCGATTTCCTTCACATTACCTCTCCTCGTTTGTTTGTTTGTTTGTTTGTTTGTTTGTTTGTTTTCTCAGCCAGCGGCAGAATGTCCTTCCTATATTTGGGGACCACCCCAATCTATGAGGCACAGCCTCTTACTGGAGAAGATGTAAATGCCACCTATATTCTTCTCTGCTTCCCATTGCTAGGGCCCAGGCACATGAGCCCGGCATAGTTCTAATCAACCACAGGCTCCAGCTCTACCTCTAAACTGGTGGCCAGTAGGTGAAGCTGCTGGACGTTGCTGCTCGCTCTGCTCTGGGGTTGGTGGTGACAATGGCGGAGGCTCTTTTCAGTTTCTGGATGTGCCAGTGGTAGAGATAAGGGGAGGCTCTGTGAACTCCATGTTCGATTCTCAGATATTCTGGGAGCACTCTAGTAGCCTTTATTAAATTCCTTTTCTGCACAAATCAGCCTAAATTTGCTTCCATTGCTTACACTGAGAATCCCGATAATGCTTTGCCTGCAAGCAGTGATACGACACTGGAACTATCCCTATGTGTCTCTGTCCCCCTGTGATAGTGAGCGGGGAACAGTACATTTCATCACTGTAACTCCAGTGCCTAGCACGGAACAAAGTAAGGCAAGGCAGATCCTCAACAAATTGCTGTTTAATTCATTAACTTGTGAATTAATTACTTAATCGATGAGTGACGTTCCTCTGAAAATCCAAATATAAAATGACAGCAAGTGACACTAGAATGTTTTCAGTGGTTGAGGAGGTCTGTGGCCTATTCTGTCCCTATTCTTCACAGAAGACAAGCACAGGCACAGAGAGTTCCATAGCATTTAATTAAATATGAGATGGTAACACACGTTGGATAGCTGTATACTTAGCAGCTCTGCAAAATGTTTGTAATGCATATGGGAGGTACATGGTCAAATCAGAGACCTTCACTGTAGTGAATGATGGGTAGTTTTTAGAAAAACCCCAGAAAAAAACCACTGAGCTGACAAATGCCATCTGATCTGCACCATTCCAGATGTCTTGACCACATATTCTCACCACCTTCCTGCTGGTTCCGTCTTGTAGCCTCTCCAGAAGTGCTATGGAAACACAATATGCACATCTGAAATAGCCTCTACTTGGCTTTTCTGAAGGAAATTTCCGTGGAAACTAGAATGACAGGAGAGGCAAAGGCTAGTGGAAAATCAGTCGAATAATCCAGGGGCTCCCTAGACCCAGCCAAGATTGTTTAATTGCCCAAATCAGCTGCCTGTTTACCGGTTCTCATTTCATGTTCTACAGAACTAGCAGTTCACGCTTCTGACTTATGCATTGTGTCTGAGACCAATTTTTCTTTCCTAATGAAATGCAAAAGGAGGTTGGTGGGAACAAACTTGCAATCTGACATTATACCTTGTCCTTGAGTATAAAATCAAGCATTAGCAGCAATTATGATTATAAGAGTATAATACATGGATTTTAAATCCCTCCAGTAACAGATAGACGTTCACACACTAAATTCAAATAATAACCTGTGCCCCAAAATACTGAAACATGGGATTTTAGAGCGGGGGTGGCTTTGATCTTTATCGAGACTTATCTCCTGATTTCTTCAAGAGATTGTCTATTATATCAGGGGAACAAACTTATGGCTTCCAGTCCTGAATTAACATGTAAGGTTTCTGTGTTCCAATTTCCCCAGAAGTTAAAGATGACAACAACACACCTCATAGGACCTCTGTGAATAAGGTATAGGACACCCCGGTTGGCATGGGATTTCCTGTGATAACCTCCTCTTTGAGACCTAGTTCCCATTTCTACAAAAGGTAAAGAACACATGTCCACCTGGTGGAAAATGTCTTCTAGGGCTGACACACCAGGTAGGTTCTGCTTTCCCGCCACACAGATGTATATCACTTGTCTGGCATTTTCCCTGACTGTCTGCAATTGGGCACCCTGAACATGCCTCTATTATAGCACTTGATGTTATTGGATCATTTGTTTACAAAGTTGCCACTTTTATCCGATTTTCCACCTTATGAGGGCAGGGTCCCCAACTTTATTCACTTAACCCTGTGGCTGGCACATAGCAGGCTTTCCATGAATACTTGCCAAGGAAATGAAAGGGATAATGCTTAGGGAAATGCTTTGAAAATCACAAAAGCACTAACAAACCTAAGGGAATAAGAGATTATATTCATCACTACTGATTCAGAGAAAAGGATTTGGAAAGTACAATGGCCAACAGAGGAGTAAATGATCTTATTATCATTAGGCCTCAAAGCCAACAGATATGATTTTAGTCCAAAATTTAAAACCCCCTTTACAGATATCACAAAACAAAACAAACAAGAAAATTGAAAACTTAAAAACACTTAGCCCCCCAAAAACTAAAAACAGGACAAAAAGGTGTAAAATGTAAACAAAAACAATGGAAACAACCCCTTGAACAAAACAAAACCCTGAACTATGCCCTTCATTACTTCCTGTGCCTCTGCTGCTCTGTGTGGTTCTGCATCTGTCCATGGTCTGGGGGGCTGTGGGATGGGTGTTGGCAGCACTCCTCTGAGCTGAGATTTCCCAGCTGCTTTGACTTGGTTTGAGCTCGTCACTAAAAATTCATCTAGACCAAGAAATGCATGTTCTTTACCTTCAAGAACATGGCCCCAGTCGGCTCACTCACTGCATGTGCTTATAACTCTTCTCCCTGAAGCTTGTGGCAACATCCACAGGTATAAAACTCAGGACAATGTGTGGATGCATTTGGATTGGGGCAGTCTCTACACACAGAGAAGTGTTATTCCCGGCTCATTGCTCAAATGCACCTGTGTCTGGAGTTGGCAACAGGTTCTTCTATTTCAGATGGATGCAGCCGGGTGGTATTAGCAAGACAATCATGCTCTCGATAACTAACAACAGAAATTCTGGGCTTCTACTTTTTCAGAAAAACAGAATCGAATGGGATATGTGGGGAACAAACTTCAGTTTTCGTAGACATGGCTGGCCATGGTAGTTCATACATCACGTGACCCTTTCTTTCTCAGTGTTTTTAGTTTGGTGGCCATGTCGCTGTCTGGGACACTCCTGGTTTATGCTTGTTGTCCTGGAATGAGTATTTATAACTCCTCCTTTCAATTTCAAAAATGACCCAGTTTGGACAATAAATGACATAGTCACCCCATTTGTTATTAGTGGGGTTTGTCACTCAAGAATAGGATAGTCCCTAGTCAAGGAGAAGGCGCATGCTTTGGGGGGAACCATGGTTAGACTCCCGACCATCAAACTCCACACTGAGGGGGGAGCAAATTGGACAAGTTACTTCATACTTCCAAGTCTCCATTCCATCATCTATTAAAAAAGAGATAATAATAATAATGATGATAATAATTGTACCAATGCCTGGGATTACTATGAGGATGTAGGGAGACAAGCTATGTAGAGCCCACTGGTATATAGTAAGTCTTAACAATGATAGCTATCATCCTTGTTCTCCTTTTCCTCTTTCTTTCCTTGCCCTCTTCCTGCCTTCCTACCCCTCCCTTCTCTCCTCCATCCTTTCTTTCATTCTTTCCTGTTTTTTTCCCTGAAATAATGGAATAATTTGGGTTGCCTGAAGCAGAGTGCTCCTGCCTCAAGCCAAATGCCCCTGGAGTGAAAAGGAGTGATCCAAGCCATGCTTCTGAATCTTGTAGATGATACGGAGGGCTTGCCTTAATTCTGTCTTCTTTGTGCTTCGAGGAAGAGTAGGCAGAGCTCAGTCATCTTTGTCAGTCATCACGGTTCCAGTCCTGGGTTTCTGAAAATTCACTGGTTTTGGTAGAAACTGGACATGGTGACATAGGCTTCTTCCTGGCTCGATCCCAAGGAAGTGAGAATGGGTTGCCCCTGGGCAGCTGGGTTCAATGTCAGGATTCCTGATTGGAAAGGAAATGGAGTGGGCCCAGGGCCATTTGTAGTTCCAGGGACAAGCAGCAGGCCCTGGTACACATGAGGCCCATTCTTGCCACCATCCCTGAAGTCTGGGGGTCTGGAAGATGGGAGCACAAGGGCCTCACACATGCTGACATTCCCAGCCAGGCAGCCGAGGGGTGAATCTCCTCTGAATGTTTTTGGGGTGATGACTGCATGCTCAGATGGCCAGGTGGGGCTCTGCACACCCCCTACAAGCCTCTGCTTTTCAGACTCGTCTGGTTGTGGCAGAGAAGTGTCTTGCAGAAAGCCTTCGGCTTCATCTCTAGCTTGAATTCCATCCACCTTATGAATCTGGCAGTCCAGGAAACTTTCAGGATTGAAACTCACATTCAAATTCTACACCAAAAAAAGAGAGAAGGCATTGAGAGTGCTCCAAAGAGACACACCAGCAAAGGTTCAGTTCAGGGAAAGATGTAACAAACTTTCTGACAGGGGTTTACCAGAGAATGTCAGAGAATTACCCACATGTTCTAGTTGACTCTACCACTGGATGCACTCTGACATGTCAGTCTGAAGGGACTGGCCATGCCCTCCAGCCCCATGAAAGCCCAGGAGACTTCTGAGACTTGTATCTCATTTTAGTTTTCTATATCCAGGGAGCTGCAGCTAGGATCTTGCAGTTATGGGATGCACAAAAGACCAACACTTGTGGTTCAACTGTTCCCTATCCTGCAATATTATTCTTCGCTTTTGGAATGCCTCCAACATTGTGATAGAATCACCAGAAGCACTTACCTTTTTTGGTTTCTTGCAAAGTTGTTCCAGAGTCTTCTTATGATCCGGGAGACTGGGCCACACAATAGGTTTAATTCTGAAATAAGAGGACATTGAGAAAGATGAAATGAACAGTGAGGGAGCATGCATGCACAATAGGTCTTTCCACCCATTCTGAGCCAGAAATCAGAAGAGCAGATTTCTAGTCTTGGCTCAGCCACAACTAGGCGGGTGAACTTGGACAAGTGACTTGCTTTCCCTGGGTCTCAGTGTCCTATTAATTCACAGAGGGGTTGGACCAGGGGTCATTGTCAGTGATCTCTGTGAACACCTTTGGGAGAGAACCCTGGAGAAGAGGAACAGTGAGGCTTGGCAAGGGTGTGGGTATGAAACCAACATTCCCCCGGCTCTTCTACTCTTAATATAGGTGTTGTCATCCTACTCCTATTAACTGATAGCAACTCCTCTGCTCTGATTTTTGTGGAAGTGAGGAATATTTTCTAAACCACCCAGGGAAATTAGAGTATCATGGGGCACCTCAATGGTTCAGTTGGTTGAGCATCCGACTTCAGTCAGGTCATAATCTCATGGTTTGTGAGTTGGAGCCCTGCATCAGGCTCTGTGCTGTCAGCACAGAACCTGCTTCAGATCCTCTGTCCCCCCCTGTCTCTGCCCCTCACCCACTTGCTCTCTCTCTCTCTCTCAAAAATAAATAAACATTAAAAAAGACAAAAAGACAAATTGAAGTATCATGAGAGCATGTGGCACCGTGCTGAAGGCATCTTCCTAGAACATTAATAACTTGATGGTATGTGTCAAAAGCATCATTTTCATAATGAAACAGACAGGGCTCTGTCATGAGGTAGAATGCAAAAGTCCCATGAATTTGTGTGCTGAAATTCAAGACTTCAAATACATTCTGTATTTTCCATGGGTACCCCCAGCTGCCCAGACATTTTGGAGGCATGGTTCCCACTATTTTAGAAGAAAAAGTTTGGGGGCAGTGTTTGCCCTATGTCTAATTTATGTATTTTCACCTCTTATGAAATTAAATGTGGAAATTCACCAGTTCCTTAGGGTGGGGAGGGATGTTGGGCACTACAATTCCTGAAATGTCTTTTTCCCTTTGTAGTTTTCTCATCAATAAATAGGCTAGAGCTCCAACTGTCTGGGACCCCATGTAACCATCCTATTGATTAAAGTTCACCTTTTTTTCCATAATGCACAGGCCAAGATGACCATCAGAGACACAGAGAAGAAACTCAGAATGCTAATAGTTAGTAAAATAGGATCCATCCTCCCTGGAATGCAAGGAAAGATCTCGGTTAGTAATCATTAAACATGGAGTTGGGGAGGCTTTCAGTATGCTTTGAGTTTATTTAGTAACTCAAGACCATTTACTATTTCTTCAAAGTCACCCTTCAGTGAACAGGATAATGTACTAGCTTTATGCACAAGGAATTTTGGCTTCAGTAAGTGGCACTCATGTGAGTGATCAGGTGCAGAACATCTGTCATTTGAAATGTAAAAGTGGCCCAGCATTAAGGATAGCAGTACTCTTTCCCCAACATCTACCATCAAGAGAAGTAAACCTAGCAGGGGAATCAGGAGGGGGATGCTCTACCTCACAGGTTCATCAAGTTCCAGTCTGAGAATGGGATGTTGGTATGTCAAGAATAGTTCCCCTCACGGGGCGCCTGGGTGGCGCAGTCGGTTGGGCGTCCGACTTCAGCCAGGTGTCACGATCTCGCGGTCCGGGAGTTCGAGCCCCGCGTCAGGCTCTGGGCTGATGGCTCAGAGCCTGGAGCCTGTTTCAGATTCTGTGTCTCCCTCTCTCTCTGCCCCTCCCCCGTTCACGCTCTGTCTCTCTCTGTCCCAAAAATAAATAAACGTTGAAAAAAAAAATTTAAAAAAAAAAAAAAAAAGAATAGTTCCCCTCATACTTCAAAGAGAAGGTATATGTGGAGTGAGCCGTGTTCTTTGGCTTTTCTGGCCATTCTCACTTCCTAGACCATGTGGATACCTTTGTTATTCTGGAAAAGGAGGCATGAATGAGCAGCACTAACCTGCTCATCTTCTATCACCAAAGGTGTTCCCCTAGAGGAGCTTTTTAGAGACCAGCCATTGGGATTCCAGTCTAAATTGGTAGAGTGGAGGTAGTAGGTGGGGACTTTATTCAGAATTATTATCAGCTCCCAAGAACACCTGGGTCAGTGGAATCCAGGGCAGCCTATATCATTTGATCAATGACTATGGGTTCTATTCCCACTACTTCCTTATTCTTCACAAGAGGGGCAAAGATGGCAGGTCATTCTCCAAAGACAGTGTAAACATACCCTCAGGGGAGTCCTAACATGTGGGTTGCTTTCACCTTTCTGCCTCTCACTCTTGTTCACACACCTTAACATGCAAAGCACTCTGCAGGGGACAAAGATTCTGCTGTCACTTCCCACCTGTGATCTCTGGAGTTCTGAAGTGGAAGCTTGGACTCCATTCACTCCAGAAGCCTTCAAAATAGTCATGATTAGGAATGGACCGGACTTTAATCTCATACATTGCATCAGGTTGTAGCTTTCTCTGTAGGAGTGCCAGCTTTGTACTGGATAAGTTCACATGCTAAAGAGCAAAACATGCCATTATATTTTTAGGGTCAAAAAAGACGTGTTGCCTAGATCCCCCAAATCATTTCAAGTTAAGTGACTTTAGTCATGTGGGTACTCTTGTTAGGAAAAGGAGATATGACATGGAGAGGAGCATGTGTGAGCTCATAAATGATGCTACCAGTGGTCAAGGAGGGCAACAGTACCATGGGTCTTTGTTTAGGTGAGCTGGACTCTTCAATACCAGGAGGATATAAATCACTCCCAGGCCCCCACCTTCCTTTCCACACTTCGATTTCTCTCTCTCTCTCTTTTTTTCTCTTTTTCTCCTCTTTCACATCCCAAAGGAAAATACAAGGGAATGGTAAAGTAAGTGAGCAGGAATAATTTCTCTCTAGAAAGATTCAATTCTACATTGCAAATAGCATATAGAGAACAACAGTCTCTTCAGCAATGTGCATTATCCTTAAGAAAAAATTATCAATTTGATGGATAAAAAGTTAATATTGCACTGTTATTTCCATTTATACTTATTTGATTATTAGTTTTCATATATTTATTTCATTTACATATATCTTATTTTATGAGACATTTCCAAGTTTCTTGCTAATTTTTTCTGTTGTTACATTTGTCCTTTTCTTAATGATTTATAAGGCCTCTTTATATATGAAGGATATTAACCATCTGTCAGTTGTATGTATGGCAATTTAATCCTAATATCTAATTTGTCTTACAATTTTGATTGTCATGTGTGCTGACATTTATAAGCCTTTATTTTTATATATTCATACGTATCCATCTTTTTCTCTCTTTACTGCTTTTATGCTTAGAATATTTTTCTTCATCTCAAGATTACATAAGCATTTACCTATATTTTTTCTACCTTGTTTAGTGTTTTCACTTTTACATAATTTATTTAAATCATCTTTTTATTCTATTTTTTAAGTTAGGCATTTAACTTAATTATTTCCCCAAACAGCTAACTGTCCTGGTATCATTTATTCAAAATTCTTCTTTTCTTGGGGCTCTCGGCTGGCTCAGTTGGAGGAGTGTGCAACTCTTGATCTTGGGGTGATGAGTTTGAGCCCCA